AGGGGTCATTGGGCGAAGGACCCCCTTGCACTAGTGATAAGTGTGATGTCCTTTTTATTTTGATGATCATACAGGATATCAATCCGCCAAAACGCCCACTGCACAAGGAACCCTTGCAACCTCTGGAGGAACCCTGGCTGAGATACCTATCCTTAAGGATGAGTCCTTCCAAAATTGAATTTTCAGATAAACCACCTATTTCATGCTTATTTGGTTTTTTTTTTTTAATTTTTGCAATTTGCCTTCTCCTTCAAAGATTTACTCAATTTGTAACACCTTGTAACCAGTTTACTGTGTGCTTTATTCCTCCATATACCACAATGTAGCCAAACAGCTTTACATTGCATTCTAGATGGAAACACAATCCCACACAGAGTCACCGCAGTTAATACTGACCAGGTTAATAGAGCAAAAGAATAGGGACATACTGTATATATTATATAACGTATTTCTATGACTTACCTCCTTTTAAGGCACCACAAAAATTAAATTCATCATCTATTCCTGAACACAAATCATATCTTCCATCAGAAACTTTTAAAGCATTATTCCAGATTTCAATCATCACATATACATAGTCTAAATTCATTCCTACAAGAAGAGAAACATTATACAAAGTGAAAAGCTACAGGATGAGTTATTGCAATCAAGAAGGCTCTACTAAACATTCAGATTCTGACCCAAAAACAACTTTCTTAACTGCACATTACAAGGCCCAGGACATTTGGGTTATGCAGCCACCTTCACGTGATTGCACACTGGAACGAACAAAGCTGATATTACAGAGCTCTAGGAGTTACTCCACACATGCTCAGTTTAGGATGTATGGCTAGAGAGTTTATTTTTTTCTTTGGGAGGATGCAAGTGATCAGCATAGGGCCAAACAGCACTGTCCAGACAGAGGGTCAGGGGTTATGCAGCCCCATAGAACAGTCAGAGCAGAATGAAAACTCCTTCTACAAACTTAACCAGTGCTCAGCCAGACACTGATAGCAGTCACAAAACTGCTCTGACTGCTGATGAGGAAAGGTATTTAGCAGTTTATATTTACTAAAGCAATTGCATTTCCATGTTGTGTGTACTGTGGGAGACTAGATATAGTGAATGCAGGGTCCTGGGTTTAGTAACACTTTAAAGTGAATCTAAACTAGTGAAACTGACTAAACTGTCAGCAGTTCAAGTTCTTTAGCAAAAGAGACTGTGAAAGTCTCTTTTACCTAAAACAACCCCCACCCCCCCAAGCTAATAGCATTTTTTAAAATTTATGTACGCACTATGCATTGTACATCCCGGATAATTCTTATGTGCCGAAGTGCTCCGGATGTTGAAACTCCTGTTCGCATGGGTAGGAGTTACATTTTCAGTGGTCATTCATTGGCTGAAGAGGAGCGTTTTGTGACCCACAAAAAGCATCTGAAGAGAAAGTGGCACCATTGAACAGAGAAGCGACTTCAGCCTAGACTTGACGCTGCTGAAAGAGGGCATTATGAGAGGTATGTGTGTCATAATGTGCAAGTATGATGAACATACAGGTACTTGTACAATATGGTGGCAGCTCACCTCACCAAGCAGAATTTCATTCTACACAGCAATAAATTGACTGAACAGATTCCTGTAAAAGTGATGGTAATTCTAAAGTTCTTTATGCTGTGACCCTACTAATGATGATAGTGTGTTACTTTGGCATCTAGAAATTCTATCAACAGCTGCAAGTCACCCCATGACCTGCTTGTCGGTTTCCATAAATGAGCCAGTGCTGACCTTCTCTGACCACCCGGCAGCACCAAAAAGATACCAGGCTGAGTCAATGAAATGTCATATTTGGGTGCACGTTTACATTTTGGTACATTGGTACATTGCAGCACAGTGGCTAAGTGGTTAGCACTTCGCCCGCCTGGCAGTACTAGTGTCGTTGGTTTGAATCCCAACCACGGCGCCACCTGCCTGGAGTTTGCATGTTATCCCTGTGCCTGCATGGGTTTCCTCTGGGTACTCCAGTTTCCTCCCACACTCCAAAGACATGCTGATAGGTTAATTGAATCCTGTCTAAATTGGCCCTAGTATGTGTATGTATGAATGTGAGTTAGGGACCTTAGATTGTACACCCCTTGAGGGTTAGGGACTGATGTGAATGTACAATATATGTATGTAAAGCACTGCGTAAATTGATGGTGCTATATAAGTACCTGAAATAAATAAATAAAAATATATTGAGCCCCTGGTACTCTTGTCTGCAAAGCAGCAAATGCTACAGGACCTATTCCTGCTACTAATGTTAACTCCTTTCAGTGTAAATTAACATACAGGACTAGTTAAAGCAGTAGGTCTTCATCACAGAACAGTTAGGATAACAATATTAACAATATAATATTGCAGATAATTTCACAAGGAAAAACTTTCTTTAAGAGCACAAGCACAAATTTAAAATTGCAATTGTGCAGCCTTTAAAAGCCATTTGAGGCATGTTTTAGATGTACTGTGGAAGTTCCCTTCAATTGACTTCAGTGAGAAAGTGCAAACCGATAGAACAAAACTGTACACTACATAGACTTTTCTATGTGCATCAGCACAACATGTCTGGTTTAACTGAAGGCCTTTAATTTATATTGAGTGATTTTTTTGGAGGAAGTGCATTTTCCTATAATTAAAAAGTTGAGACAATGCACTATGGTTGACAAGTAATCATTAAAGCTGAACTACATGCACAGGTATTCATTAATAAATCATTACTTTTCTTTTTAATTTATTGTAGCGCTACCCCTGGAGAAGGCACTAGTATTCTGCCCAGGCTTTTCCCTAAATCTTCACCCGCAACCAAGCACACAGTATTTTCTATGACCAGATGCACACAACTTCCGTCCGTTACTCCAATGATCAGTCTAGGGGTTGTAGTTTTTGTTGTGTTTTTACTTTTATTAGAACTGGGATAGGGAAAGGATATAGTGGGATACTCTGAATTGAACTATTCCCAGTTGATGACTGCTTTCTCTATCTGTGGGTTTCCTTAGTAGAATTGTGTAGCAGACCATACAAATAATGGAGCAAAGTCCTTCTGCAGAAATGAAGAACTAAACGAACAGTTGCTCTTCTGGACACCAGCCGGTGTCCCCTCTAGTTTACACCCAGCAGCTGACTATGTAGGTCCTGAGAGAGTTAAACAGTCCCAGGATCCCTTTTGAACAGTATGTACTCACAAGGTCCTTGCTACAGGTCACCTTCCTCAGTGATACCTGATAGGATTTGTAGACATTCCCCTTAGTGAGCTCTCAAAAGCACCCTGGGTTTCTGTGTTCTGGCCCTCAAGTCACGCACCCAGTGGAGCCACCTCAACCCTGGCTGGAACTCCCCTCTGGGGAAGAGGAAAAAGAACCCAGATCCCATGTGGTCACTGAATATAAATACCAGCACCTAGCAAGCTCAGGGGCACCACTCCCTGTAATTGGCTGGAGCTGCATCCATATTACACCATACTCAACTATCTACATCCTAGCACCTATCTAGGGGGGTGCTATATTAATAAACTAGTATAGGTACCAAGATTTGAATTGATATCAGCATCTTGCAATTTCTTGCACAGCAGTTCTCAAAGTGATATTAAAGGCAATTCTAAAAAAAAAAAAAAAAAAAAAAAAAGAGTCATCCTTGCCTGCTTTGTACAGTGGTTTTGTATTCTGACAGTGGGGAGTCCCGCTGTCAGAATACAATAGCACAAGGGAGGAGATCTAGGATTTTTTTTTTTTTTCACTTAACTCGCTGGTTGAACAAAAAAAAAGATCAGAGTGTTCACCTAGCCTTAAATTGGGAGAGGGAGCGACTTGAGTACATATCCCCTGACGAGGAACAGTGATAGGGACGTTACTGAGATTATGAAAGACCCTGGGCATTATTGGGCACACCAAGAAAAGCAAAGATGTGGTGCATGTAGTACGCTGTGATGAGTGGTGGGTGTGGCCTAACAGAGGGAGAGTTGTAAAGAGTATATTCACATTATATGCTTTCATTACTGTGCCACAAACTAGTCTTACAGACATAACCCCAACCTTGCAAAGTGCAATGCAGTCAGGTTTAGGTGTGGCCAGGGGTGGACTGACCATTTGAAAACTCGGGCAGTGCCCGAGGGCCCAGGGTCAGTAGGGGGCCCCATGAGATGCCCCTGGTGCCTTTTTCATAGGCTTTTTTGAGTTTGGGCAAGGACACAGGGGCCCCATGATCCCCTATTACCCGGGGGCCCCATGAGTTGTCAGTCCGCCCCTGGGTGTGGCTAAATTGCACTGGATATTGGGTGTGGCCTAAGTGAACATGGTTACATATAGTCTAAGCCTACTGTCAGTAAGCATTACCCACAGTTGTACATGCAAAATACTCCAACTACTGTAACACACGTGAGAATTTCATAGACAAACATACACCAAAGGGTCACTTTTAAAAAAATAACACAGAATATGGACAGAGAGCTAACACCTTTTCTGAGCCTACCTTATAGTAGACCTTCATGGTCAGTGTCTGTACCCCCTCCCCCCATTTCCATTGGTGATCAGTGTCTGGTCCACTTTACATTAGGGGTCAGTGTCTGTGCCCCCTTACTTTGTTGATCTGTGTCCCCAGTATATTGGTGGTGTGTCCCTAACATTGGTGGTTAGTGTGTCTCCCTTTGATTGATGATCAATGGAAGTGGTGTTACAATTACCTTATTAGCAATGAAGCGTGGGCACTGGACGCTTGGAGCAGAGGGAGCGGGAAGAGGATCAGCAGCAGAGAAGGAAGGGGCACACTCTCAAATGTAAACACAAGTTGGGCACACCCTGATTGCCTCTGTGCCTTTGCTCATCACAATCTTTGTGCAGGTGGTTGGGACACCTGGGGTACCCTGTAGGAGATATGGGGTATGTGCCCAGTGTGCTTAATGCTAGTTACATCCAGGGGCGGACTGACCATTTGGAAACTTGGGCACTGCCCGAGGGCCCGGGGTCAGTTCGGGTCCCATGAGATGCCCCTGGTACCTTTTTCATAGGCTTTTTTGAGTTTGGGCAAGGACACAGGGGCCCCATGATCCCCTATTGCCCGGGGGCCCCATGAGTTGTCAGTCCGCCCCTGGTTACATCTCTGTGATATGAGGAGAGAGCAGAATGACAGAGAGATGACCTCATCCGTCTGTTGCTGCTTTTTTACTGTCCAATCAGCAGGCTAGGAGTGGAGCGAGGACAATGCTGCATCTGTTCTACAGTCTATAACTGTAATAGAAAAAGTGTTATCATCTTCCTGGATATGCTGTGTGGCAGGGCTGTACAAATAGAACTAGTTGTACTACAAATACATTGGAAGCTAAACCAGCTTCCATACCTATCTATCTATCTCTCTCTTGTGTTTTCCTGGGGTTCAACTTTAAATATTATACTTAAAAAAAAAAAAAATCTTCATTACTGGAATAACTAAGTACAGCGTTTGACTTACATAACCTCTTCTTTCAGAGCAATATGTACCATATTGAGAAAGGCAATATAAAGTGCAACAACCATATGCGAAGTGCAGTAACCCATAGTAATCAGTCAGAAATCTTTTAGCTGAGCTGGTTTGACAAGCTGCCATAAGCTACTGTACTTTACACATAGTCACAGCTTTTTGCACTGCCTTATTGAATAAGGTCGGTGATACAGAGTTGTACCCAAATTTATGACCTTATGTGACACTCAGACCACGACCATTAAAAGCACTCGCTACTGTGTATAGACACACATACCCAGCAGCTTGTTGAGAAATCTCCATGTGACAGTGCCACTTTGTCACTTGGAGAATAAGGAACAAAGACACTGACAGAATAAATGTCACTTCTGACCCTGAGCCACTTCATAAGACACTGGTAGTACTATGAAGAGCATGCAAGGAGAAAAGTGCTCATTTTAAAGTGCATTCTAAAGTGCAGAATGTATTATTTTGGCAGCGACTGCCTTTGGCAAAGATGGATGGACATCTCCTGCCTGTCTTTCTCGGAGGGACATCTTTCAATTGCTGGTTAACCTAAGTCTGTATATCTGAAGGTAAGTATATTCCTTTTTTATCTTCCTTAGACTATCTTCCTTAGTTTTAGCCTTTAAACAACAAACTTTTAACAAACAAAAAAAAAAATTACTTGTTATGAATGTGGTAGAAATATTCACTTCTCCTTTCCAATTAGTAAAACAAGGATCAATGGAAAAAGACATCTGGTGGTTGTCATCTGAAAAACAATTAGACATGTGTAATAATCAATGCATTTATATATAAATGTGACTAAAGGTCTTATTAAATGAAGTTAACAGAAATCAACATTTATAATGCAATTCCAGCCCAAACAATTTTAGTTTTGTATAGGGTAGGGGGGGGGGGTAAGAACTTCTGGTGGGTTTTACAGTGCTCAGCATAAATGAGTACACCCCTTTTTGAAAAGTAAGATTTTAATCAATATCTCAATTTAACACAAGAACAATTTCCAAAATGTTGACAAAACTGAGTTGTATAGAACTTTTAATTTTACTCATTACATGAAAGTAAGATTAATAATATAACTTAGATTACAAAATATTCAGTTTTACTCCAATTAGTTGATGCAAAAATGAATACACACCACAACAAAAATTACATTATTTTTATTATTATTATACAGGATTTATATAGCGCCAACAGTTTGCTCAGCGCTTAACAATATAACGGGAGACAATACAACAATTCAATACATGAGGGATAGGAGGGCCCTGCTCCTTGGAGCTTAGGAGCTTACAATCTAGGATTTTGCATGACCTCCATAATTTGTAAGGCCAGCACCAAGTCTTCTAGGCTCTTTTAGAGCCTGGATGCTGGATGGAGAGTGATGCTCAGCTTGTCTCTTCAGAATTCCCCATAGGTGTTCAATTGGATTCAGAGCAGGAGACATACTTGGCCACTGAATCACTTTGCACGTCTTCAGAAATGCAACAGTGGCCTTAGATGTGTGTTTTGGATCATTGTCATGTTGGAAAAGTGCACGACGACCAAGGGCATGGAGTGATGGCAGCATCTTCTCTTTCAATATAGAGCAGTACATCTGTGAATTCATACCATCAATGAAATGCAGCCCCACAGAAGGGCACTGCCACCGCCATGTTTCACTGTATGCACCATGCATTTTTTTTGTACTCCTTACCTTTCCGACACCATACAGTTTGTTTTTTTTTTATTCTTTTTATTGAAAAGTTTAACATAATATACATCATACAAAATGGTGAACTAGAGCCGTTAATCACCAACAGCTGTTAGCAACATAAAACATACAAGAGAAAACATAGAGAAGACAAATTTCCCAATGGAAAACAACAACAGCAAAACAAAAAACAATAACCATTCCTGCACATGTCCAAAAGGTACCCGTAGTAGGATGGGCAAACACATTACAAAATAAAAGCACCACACCATGCTCCACCCCACAGAGTTACATCAAGAGAGCCATTCTCACTTAACACCGGCCGTCATTCTGCTATAGGCCGGGCGGGACACTTGCTGTTATGACTGAATGTCATATGATGTCAAAAGCAGCCGTTCACGCGGCCACGGTGCCGAGCAGCGGCACGATCTGTCCACAGGACACAGTCGATGACATATGACTACACCGGTCTGTTGCCAGTGTCATGTGACTACTCACAGCAGATCACATGTCAATTGTATACAATGGATGGCTTCCTGTCATGCCATCCATTGTATACAATTGTGTTGTTAGATGTGATTGGTCAAAGCAGTCACATGGTACAGACATGGCCAATCACAGCTCATCTGTATCATGTGAGGAGCTTTGCACAATCACAGCTAATCACAACAAAACACTGAATGAATCAGTTTCATTCAGTAACAATGATTGCAAATATCAATGAAATACACAGGTATTAGCAATCATAAATGTGTAAATCATGTGTAAAAAAAAAAATCCTGATCACTTGCCCAGTAGTAGTTCAGTGTTACTATGGTAATATTGTATTGCTTTGGTCACAGTGTGTTGAAAAAAAAAAGTAAAAAAAAGAATGTAATAAAAAATATTAAAATTATATTATAATACATTTTCTTTTTACATACTGACACCAGTCAGTATCCCTGATCACTGCCACACCAGTTATATAATCACGCTGTACTGGACTAGTGGCAATATGTAAAAAAAAAAAATTTTTAATTTGTGATTTTTTTTTCTCTTACATTTCTACATTTTCCAAAAATTGTAACAAAAAATTACAACCTCCAAAAAACTCACCATGCCTCTTACCAAATACCTTGGACTGTCTATTTTCCAAAAATGGTTAATTTGGGGGGTATTTGTACTATGCTGGAGTTTTCAGGCCTCAGATATATATACCATGGTTTGTGAACTCTATAACTTTCCTACAGACTTAATAATATACACTGATTTGAGGTATTTTCACAAAAGAACTGTAGCAGAATACATTTTGACCTAAATTTATGAAGAAATGTAATTTATTTGCAAAATTGTATAACAAAAACAAAGAAAAAGGAGTTTGTTTTTTTAAAGTTTCAGGTTTTTTTGTTTATTTAGCAAAAAATAAAACGTGTCACCAAAAGAAAGCTCTATTTGTGTGAAAACAATTATTACATTTTTTATGGGTACAGTGTTGCATGACCATGTAATTGTAATTCAAAATGCGACAACACTGACAGCTGAAAATTGGCCTGGGCAGGAAAGGGGTAAAAGTGCCCGCTATTGAAGTGGTTAAATACAATGCACAGAGGTAAACTTTAGACTAGTAATATAACAACCAATTTGAATACTCAACAAATACCATTTTAAAGGGACCTTAATAGGAGAAAATCGTAGTAGAATATTCACTCAGAGACCATAAGGGAAGATAATACCCACCCGCCCCAAATCTTGTCAAACTTGAGGAGAGCTCCCTTTTAAGATACAAAGCCTTGCAAAAGGGTAATGTCTTATTAACCTGGGACTTCCAAGACCCCACGGTAGGAGCATGTGTTCTTTTCCATGAGAGAACAATCGGTTTCCTAGCATGGAAGAAGAGTAGGGTAAGTAGTAGGGTAAGTAGTGTGCGTACAGCTGTAGTAGGGGTCAAATCATCCACCAGACTAAGTAGGCAATGTCTCACGGAAGGGTGAAGCGGTATAGTGGTACCATTTTGAATGCACCGGAGAACTTCCAACCAGAACCCCTGTATAGCTGGACAATCACAAAATATGTGCATTAATCTAGCCCCATCCGCCAGACAACGCCAACAGGAGGAAGAGACTGATCCAAAAATCTTAGCAATTTTGGCTGGGGTCAGATATATATGTTGTAAGAATTTAAAGTGTATTAGTTGTTCACGGGCTGAGACCAGCCTGGTGAAAGGAGCATCCCAAACATCCTTCCAGTCCTCTCTATCCAGGTCAGGGACCACTGCCTCACACCTAGTCCTACACACCTCCAGGAGTTTACTAGTTTCATGGAAAAGAGACATATATAGTGGATAAGGGCTTAGATAGCTAATTGTCCCACAGTAATGACTCCAGATCCGAGGGAGAAAGGGTAACCCAAGAAAGTCCAAATTGCACTTGAAAAGCATGCCGAAGTTGGAGATAACAGAAAAGTTGCTTATTAGGTAGGTGATACAAGGCATTTAACTCATCAAATGTTCTCAACTGTCTATTATGCAAAAATGAATTGACCAGCTACAAAAATTTATAGAAGTTGGGCACTACTAGACCACTTTCTTTCCAAGGTTGTTGTAGGATCCCCAAGCAGAGCCTAGGAACTTCACTCTTCCAGAGGAACTCAGAGATTAAACCATGTATAGCTTGGAAAATCCACAATGGAGAGCTACGCAGGACATATAACAAAAGTGGAATAAGTTTAATTTTGATCAAATTTATCCTGCCAGTCATTGAGAGAGGGAGATTCCTCCAGGCACCAATCGTTCATTTGAAATGGGAAAGAATAGGGGAAACATTCAACCTTATAAAGTCCAGCATGGAATTAGTAATGGTTACCCCTAAATATTTTACTTGCGACACCCACTGGAGCAAGGAAGTGGGCCGTGGAAGGCTACCCACATCCCTACCCAAAGGGAGAACCTTAGATTTAGACACATTCA